TTCTGTGCGTGTAGTAGTGTAATCATCCAGTTTGCTATTGGACATTTGGTTGATTTCTAGCCTTTTGCTACTACAGATGTTGCTGCAGTGACTAGCCTTATGCATATGCATTGTATGTTGTATTTAAATAAAAACTGTTTCTTAAACCACATGCCAATAACCTGTATTTATCCATACACTTACATATTCTTCTTTAGAATCTGAGTTTGAATTGAAGCATTTACCTTAATTTTAAAGTTTCTTCTAAATTACCTTTTGTCACTGGGGTCTGTTTCATTTGCCTTTCCTTAAAGGTAAACTTGATGTTTTCATTTTGCCTTAGTTTCCAGCCAACTGTAATTTTAAAAGCTCTTCAAAGTCGGCTGGGAACTTTTGACTAGTAGATGTTTTGCTCTGGCATGGTACTCCTTCGCACCTCAATGGTCACCCAGTCTTTCTTATTTTGACCATTCTGAGATATTCTAAATTTGGCAGTTAGGGCCTTGGGTTGACTGGCAGTCTTCTGTTAACACACTGACTTTTCACTTAAATGCTGTATCCTTGTACCTTTAAGGGACAGGGATTCAAATTTACATTAAAATTTTGTCTGGGGTGCAACCATTACAAATAATGAGGATTAATAATAGCATGAACCATATACTGTCTTCCTAAGACTGTGTTAGAACATATCCAGCAATGATAATATATCTATATTTGCTGCCTAGTGGCTAACAAATTTACTCTCTTGTGATAAACACCTTCGTTTCAGAACTAGTAAAATGTGGGAGTGAAAGAGGCAAAATAAGTCCAAAAATCAAGGAAAATATTTATGCAGTTTCTGTCTCATTGATGTGTGTATCTCCTCCACTAATACCACGCTGTCTTTATTACTGCAGCTTATTTATTTAACTCTTACTATGTGCTTTATTCTGTAGACACTGTTATAGAGACAGGAGATATATCTGTGAACAAAACAAAGATTCCTGTCCTAAGAATCTTCTTTGTGGGATTCTTGTAGGTTAATAAACAAACTAAAATTATAAAAAATGTAAAACGGTAAGTAGAAGCTCGGCAGATGTAGATTGCCATAGTAAGAATAAGCTTCATTGAGACATTTGAGAAGAGGCTTGAAGAGGGTGAGAGTGAGCCAAGAGAATATCTGAAGGAAGAATATTCTAGGGAGAATAAACAGCCAGTGCCTGCCATGTTTGAGAATAGCATCCAGGAGGTGAGTGTGGCTGGAACAGAGTGATCTAGGGGTTAAAAAAAAAAATAGCAGCTTAAGTCAGAGAAGAAATGGAGGTCTGATCATCAGTAAGGCTTCATATTGAAAGTTATACAGGAGATAACTTTCATCAAGTAATGAGACAGTAAAGATAACTTGTACCAAATGTCAAGGAAAAACTTACTGAGCTCAGCCAGTATCACCAACCGTAGTGAACCAAATAAATACTTCTTGTTTTAAGCCACTGAGTTTGGGGTGATGTTTTATACATATGCTATTAGTATTCTTGTGTGAGAATAAAATTATGCAGCCAGATTATTCTTTTAAAAAGTATAGTAAATTTAACTTTTTTCAAGTTACACAGTTCTTAGTATTAACATATGTATAGATTTCATGTAATGCCTGTGTAATGAGAATATAGAACATTTCAAACACCCTCCAAAATTCCCTTATGTTGTCCTTTTGTAGTCAACTCCTGTTCCTCACCCCCAGTTCCTAGCAATCACTGTTTTCTGTCCTAGTAGTTTTGCCTTTGCAAGAATGTCATAAAAATGGAATCATACAGTCTGTAGCCACTTGAGACTGGATGCTTTCCCTCAGCATGATACTTCTGAGATTCATCTTTGAGATTCTTGCATGTACCAATAATTAGTTCCATTTTACTCCTGAGTAGATTTCACTGTACAGTTGCACCAAAGTTTGTTTATCCATTCTGTTGAAGGACGTGTATCGTTTCCACTTTGGGGCAAATATGAATGCAATCATTGTAAATATCCACAAATAGGATTTTGTGTGAATATGACTTCTCATTTCTCTAGGTAAATATTTGAGAATGGGATTGCTGTAGCATATGAAAAGCATATATTTAACTTTATAAGAAATTACTAAACTTGACTAAGAAATTATAAGAAATTACTAAGAGTGACTGTAGCATTTTGCGTCCGCACCAGCAGTGTATGGGCACTGCAGTTGTTCTGTATCCAACTTGTATTGTCAGGGTTTTTTTTTGTTTTGTTTTGTTTTGTTTTTTGGCCATTTTCATAGATGTGTATTGTCATTTCATTATGGTTTTAATTTGCATTTCTCTCATGGCTAATTATGATCCTGAGCATTTTTTCATATGCTATTTACTGTCAATATGTTGTCTTCGGTGAAGTGCCTGTTAAAAGTTCTTATCCCCCCCTTTTTTTTTTTTAACTGGGTCATTTTCTTTTCTTCTTCTGTTTTTGTTTTGAGAGAAGGGGTTTCACTCTGTTGCACAGACCGGAGAGTAGTAGCTGTTCACAGGCATGATGATAGTGTGCTACAGACCTGAAGTCTTGGGCTCAAGTAACCCTCCTACTCAGCTTCCTGAGTAGGTTGAACTACAGGTGCGCATCACTGCACCAGGCTCAGGGTTGTTTTCTTACTGTTGAGTTTTGGAAGTTCTTTGTATATTCTATGTCAAAGTTCTTTGGCTAATAATGTGATTTGCAAATGTTTTCTCCCAGTTTACAGCTTGATTTTCTTTCTCATAGTGTCACAAGTGTTTTTAATCTTGACGGAGTTCAATTTAATCAGTATTTTTTCTTTATGAGTTGAACTTTCAGCATCATGGTAAAAAAAAGTACTCTTTGTCTAAACTAAACTCATGAAATTTTATTCTGTTTTTTTCTTGTAAAAGTGTTATAGTTTTACATTTAGATATATGATCTATTTTGAGTTAATTTGTATATAAGGTGGGAGGTATAGGTTGTGATGAGGTTTTTTTGCATATGGATGTCCAGTTATTGCAACGTCATTTGTTGCAACGTCATTCCCCACTATTGCCCTTTCACCTTTATCAAAAATCAGTTGACCATGTCTGTGTGGGTGTGCTTCTGGATTCTCTGTTCGGTTCCATTTATCTATTTGTCTGTTCTTCTGACAGTACCACACTGTCTTGACTACTGTAGCTTTATAGTAAGCCTTAAAAATCGGGTAGTGTGAGTCCTTCAACTTTATCCCTTTTTCAAAAAAATTGTTTTGGCTTCTCTAGTTCTTTTGCCTTTCAGTATACATTTTAAAATCTGTCTAATAACTATCTGTATCTACAAAAACTCCATGGAATTTTTTTTATTTTTTATTTTTTTATTTTATTTTTTTTTTAAGATGGAGTTTCACTCTTATTGCCCAGGATGGAGTGCAATGGCGCGTCCTCGGCTCACTGCAACCTCTGTTTCCGAGTTCAAGCGATTCTCCTGCCCCAGCCTCCTGAGTAGCTGGGATTACAGGTGCCCCCCACCACGTCTGGCTAATTTTTGTGTTTTTAGTAGAGACAGGGTTTCACCATGTTGGTCAGCCTGGTCTCAAACTCTGGACCTCTGGTGATCCGCTCACCTCAGGCTCCCAAAGTGCTGGGATTACAGGTGTGAGCCACCATGCCCAGCCGGAATTTTTATTGGAATGACAGTAGTCTCCCTTTATCCATGGTTTTGCTTTCCACAGTTTCAGTTACCTCTGCAACTGCAGTCTGAAAATAGATGAATATGGTACAATAAGATCTTTCGAGAGAGGGAGAGCGATCACATTCACCCAATTTTTATTATAATGTAGTAATTGTTCGATTTTGTTGTTGTTAATCCCTTACTGTGCCTAATTTATAGGTTAAACTTCATCATAGATACGTGTGTATAGGAAAAAACATAGCATACACAGGGTTATGTACTATCTCCAGTTTCAGGCATCTACGGGGAGTCTTGGAATGGATCCCCCCCATGGATAAGGGGGGACTACTGTAAAGATGATTTCAGGAGAATTGACATCTTAACTTTATGTTGAATTTTTCAGTCTATTAATGTGATAGGTTTTTTATTTCTTTCATCAGTGTTTTATAGTTTTTAGCATATGGATCCTGCACAATTTTTTGGAGCTATTATAAATGATATTATCTCAATAACTTGTTTCCAGTTGCTTGTTAATATATAAATATTTAATTAATTTTTGTATGTTGACCTTACACCCTGCTACCTTAAGCTTACTTAAGAATTCTAGGGCACAGCCAGATTACTTTTAAGAATTTATAACTGAAACTGGTTTTACAAGTTCATTTTTGCATTTTTTTTTTTAAGATGAAATGTCAAATCTTTAATCGGGAAATTTTCTTTTTCCCACTTTTCTTTTGGCAGAATACATACTTAAGTAGCTTTACTACTACAGGCTGATTATCCCTTACCCCAAAATGCTTAAGACCAGCAGTGTTTGAGATTTGGGATTTTTTTTTTTATTTTGGAATATTTGTATATACATAATGAGATATCATGGGAAGAAATCCCAAGTCTGAACATGAAATTCATTTATGTTTCGTATATACCTTCTACACATAGCCTGAAGGTAATTTTATATAATATTTTAAATAATTTTGTGCATAAAAGTTTGGACTGAATTTTGACTATGACTCATCACATAAAGTCAGGTGTGGAATTTTCTACTTGTGGCAACATGTCAGCTCTCAAAAAGTTTTGGATTTTGGAGCATTTCAAATATCAGATTTTTGGATTAGGGATGCTCAACCTGTAGTTAAATGTTTATATGGCCTGTTGATGGAAGCATCAGCCAGAAACCCTCCACAATTTCAAAGTCTAGTTCCTCCCCATTTTTATAATTAATTAGTAGTAATACTGATTAGTTTTATGAAAACCATCATAATGGACATAATCATGAATTTAAATAGAAGAGTACAATCAGGATAGTTAATGTCATGACTTTGCTAGCTGACACATTTTTTACATTGAATAATTGTTCTGTTTCTTCTCTGTCATTTTCTCTTTTCCCATAGGTATTGGGAGAGTTGCTGCTACATCTTTAGGAAATTTGACTAACCATGGTTCTGAAGATTTACCCCTTCCTCCTGGCTGGTCTGTGGACTGGACAATGAGAGGGAGAAAATACTATATAGATCATAACACAAATACAACTCACTGGAGCCATCCTCTTGAGCGAGAAGGGCTTCCTCCTGGATGGGAACGAGTTGAGTCATCGGAATTTGGAACGTATTATGTAGATCACACAAATAAGAAGGCTCAGTACAGGCATCCCTGTGCTCCTAGGTAGAGTATCAACTTTATTTTCCACTTTTAGTTTCGGGATTGTCTAATGTTAGATTTTGGACTGGTATTTTCATCCAAGAGAAAAGCATCCTAAAGCTTGAGACCTGAAAGCCTTACATTTCAAAATTTACACTTTTCTCTGAACATATGTTTAGCAATAAATGACTTTAATAAGTTAAAAAAGTACTTTTTAAACTACCTCAAAATCAGGGTCATTGTTCTTATGATCAGATTCTGCTATAATAATGCCAGAATGTTTTTGTTATGGGTGTCCAGAAAATGAAATAATTAAGGCTTCTGCCTTCTTACACTTAAATTTTTACAAATAATACAGACCTACCCCCTAAGTCACAATGCACAATTGAATTACAACATTTTGCTGTTTTTATTCAATTTCAGACATGATTGTATGTTCTGTTTCTTGCTATTACTAGACAAGAAAGTGAAAATTGGGACTGAACAAAACATCCCATATCTGTTTAATAAATATAGCCAGTAATTCTTTGTGCTATTTTGATTGATACTGGGCCGGGTAGATCTGCTTTGTTGCCAGACTTTTAGCTCTTTGCTGCCTGATACTGTAGCCAGTTGTCATATGTGGCTGTTGAGCACTTGAATGTGATTAATATAAATTGAGATGTGCTGTAAGTGTAAATACACACTGGATTTCAAAGTACATAAAAACTAGTATTAGTTTAGTAATGAAGTTGCAAATATTTCAAATTAACCACATGTGAGCTTCAAAAGCTGAGCCACAAGATTAAGAATGAGTAAAATATCATCTGCATTTTGATAAATGTTGCTTAGTGTCATCTGGCATAATACAGTTTTTTGGTTATAGTGGACATTTGTATTTTCTTAGAACCATTAAAATAGTTATGAATATATGTTTTAGTATTACCAAGTGGAAAACTAAGCTTTGTCATTATTGTGTTGTTTTAATTATTTTACATATTTGGATTTATTAATTCAACTTTGAAAATCTGTTTTTTCCCATGATTCCATGTAGTGGCACCCAATCAGTGTTTATTCAACTACTGAGGTTGTTGTCCTTTGAAAGAATCAAACTTGTGGTGTGGTCATCAGGTGGCAATAATGGTTGCAGTCCAGATAACCAGATTTGAGAGTTTACTTTTCTGTTCATCACTGACATGGTTTGGCTCTGTGTTGTCTCCCAAATCTCATCTCAAATTGTAATCCGCATGTGTTGAGGGAGGGACCTGGTGGGAGGTGATTGAATCATGGGGGCCGTTTCCCCCATGTTGTTCTGGTAGTGAGTTCTCACGAGATCTGATGGTTTAAAAGCATGTGGCAGTTCCCCCTTCTCTCTCCTGCTGCCATGTAAGATGTCCCTTGCTTCCCTTTCACCTTCTGCCATAATTGTAAGTTTCCTGAGGCCTCCCAGTTATGGAACTGTGGGTCGATTAAACCTCTTTTGTTTATAAATTACCCAGTTTGAGGTAATTATTTATAGCAGTGTGAAAATAGACTGAACAATCATCATTAACCTTATGTTATTACATAACTTTAATAGTTTTTTTAAAGCAATTTCATAATTAATTAATTTACTTCTCTCGGCAACTTGGTAGAAGTTGAACATGAGAGAATAAACGCTGCCCTTAAGCTCACATATGTAGTATTAATAACTGTCTGGTTGTCTATCTTAGGCCAATCCTTATACAGAATTCTTGACTTACGTTAGGTCATTTAATCCTGAGAACAACCACCTGTGGTATGAATTTATTATTCCACTTTAAAAGTATGGAGGCTGAGGCTTAGAGAGTGGAGGAGTTTTGCCTATATTTGCATAGTTTGTAAGTGTTAAAACTGAGGTTCAAATCCAGGTATACCTGACTTCAAAGTCCCAATTCTTCCCCACCCCAATTGTACTATCAAAGAATATTTTCCTTTGAACCTATTTAGGAAAGAAGAGTTGAAGATAGAATTCAGTGCCATTTGCACATTGATCTTTTAAAATCGTTAACCACAGCATAATCTAACCTTATTTTAATCCCAGTTTATAAACAGTGACCTTTTCTAATATACACGTGCATTTTTTTCTCCCCACTGTTATATATACCACATTTTCTTTTTTTTCTCCCTAACTTTTATTTTAGGTTCAGGGGTACATGTGCAGGTTAACATGGGTAAACTGCATGGCTTGGGGATTTGGTACAGATTATTTTATCATTCAGGTAATAAGCATAGTACCTGATAAGTAGTTTTTCTTTTCTTTCTTTCTTTTTTTTTTCCTGAGATGGAGTTTTGCTCTTTTTGCCCAGGCTGGAGTGCAATGGCGCAATCTCAGCTCACCACAACCTCCGCCTCCCAGGTTCAAGCAATTCTCCTGCTTCAGCCTTCTGAGTAGCTGGGATTACAGGCATGCATCACCACACCTGGCTCAGTTTTGTATTTTTAGTAGAGATGGGGTTTCTCCATGTCGGCCAGGCTGGTCTCGAACTCCCGACCTGAGGTGCTCCTCCCACCTCGGCCTCCCAAAGTGCTGGGATTACAGGCGTGAGCCACCACACCCAGTCCCTGATAGGTAGTTTTTCAGTCCTCATGCTTCTCCGATCCTCTTCCCACAAGTAGACCTCAATGTCTATTGTTCCCTTCTTTGTGTCCATGTGTACTCAGTGTTTAGCTCCTACCTATCAACATGTGGTATTTAGTTTTCCTGCATTAATGCACTTAGGATAATGGCCTCCAGTTCCATCAATGTTGCTGTAAAGGACATGCTCTTGTTCTTTTTTATGGCTGGGTAGTATTCCGTGGTGTCTGTGTACCACATTTTCTTTATCCAGCCCACCATTGATGGGCATTTAGGTTGATACCATATCTTTGTTATTGTGAATAGTGCTGCAGTTAACATGTGCGTGCATATTTCTTTATGGTAGAATGATTTCTATCCCTTTGTAGAAATAGTCCCAGTAATGGGACTGCTGGACTGAATGGTAGTTCTAAGTTCTTTGAAAAATCTCCCAATTGCTTTCCACTGTGACTGAACTAATTTATATTCCCACCAGCAGTGTATAAGCATTCACTTTTCTTTGCAACCATACCAGCATCTATTATTTTCTGACTTTTTAATAATAGCCATTCTGACTGATGTGGAATTCTATTTATTTCATTGTGGTTTTGATTTGCATTTCTCTAATAATCAGTGATGATGAGCATTTTTTAATATGCTTGTTGGCCACATATACACATAAATCTTTGTGTTTGAAGGCGAAGACCCCTTTCAGTCTGAAATAGACCCTTTTGGCCTCCTCGAGTTCAGTTATTAACCTTCAGGTGGTTCAGTGCTTTCCTTACACTTTCCCATATAATATGTCCGCTTCCCACAGCATACACAGGCTGTTAGAACTAAAGCATTTATTTATTTTTTATCTCTGTGACTTAAAATAGGTTCTAATCAACTCTGACTCCCATATGTTCTCTTGATTTGGCAAAAGTTGAAAAGTTATCTACATTGGATAGAGATATTTCCAACACAATGCTCACTGCTGCCTCACTACATATCCCAACTCCCATTTTCAGCCTACAGGAGGAAGGAAACATCCTTTCTTAGAAACTGTCAACCTTTCTGATACGAATTTACAGCTGATAACTATTTCTTGTGGGGATTTGCTATTCTAGTTTTAAGTCTTTGTGTAAAGGTTAAAACTTAGTTCCAGCTTTTTCATATCCTCCTTTGAACCTGTTTTTGAAAAGACTAAATACCAGCCAGAAGAAATGTCTTTAAAATACATTACCTTTTAGGTGGTATAAGTCAGTTTGGGCAGAAGGTACACTGAAAAATGCCTAAGTATTATTTGTTCTTTATAATTTCTTGTTTAGATTTTAGGACGTTTATCCTAAAGAATGTCACTCCTCTCTTCTTAGTGTACCTCGGTATGATCAACCACCTCCTGTCACATACCAGCCACAGCAAACTGAAAGAAATCAGTCCCTTCTGGTACCTGCAAATCCATATCATACTGCAGAAATTCCTGACTGGCTTCAGGTTTACGCTCGAGCCCCTGTGAAGTAAGTACATTTACAGCACAAATTTGTTTGAGGAGTGAGTGAAGGGCTGAATGGAGTCTCTGGGCTGCTTAATCCAAGTAGTGTGCCATATTTTACTCTTAATAATATTGGGCTTCTAAGTAATACTTCACTTGAATAAAGGATATCATAGTTTATAATGTGTGAAAATCATTAATTAGAAATATTAGTTCTTCAAACATTTATAGAATCTTCATTTCTTTGTGTGCAGACGTCTGCTATAAGGGATACAAGTAAGAAACTTACATTCTCATAGGGGAAGATTAATTTGTAAATAAGTGATACAGTACTTGTGATAAAAGTAAGGACCCGGGCTTGGCACAGTGGCTCACACCTGTGATCCCAGCACTATGGGAGGCTGAGGCAGGAGGATCTCTTAAGTCCAGGAGTTCGAGAGCAGCCTAGGCAACGTATCAAGAGCCCCATTTCCACAAAAAACTTTTAAAAATTAGCCAGGCTTTTTGGCATGGATCTGTAGTCCCAAGTACTTGGGAGGCTGAGGTGGGAGGATAGCTTGATCTGAGGAGTTCAAGTTCAGCCTGAGCAACATGGCAGGACTCTGTCTCTACAAAAAAATTTAAAAATTAGCAGCATGCTGTGGTGTATGCCTGTGATCTCAGCTACTTGGGAGGCTAAGGTGGGAGGACCGCTTGAGCCCAGGAGTTCGAGGCTGCCATGAACAATGCTTGTGCCACTGCATTCCAGCCTGGGTGACAGAGAGCGAGACCCTGACTGCCTCCCCACTACTGCCGAAAAGAGGAATGATAGCAGATGGCATTTTCTTTCCTATTTTCGTCTTTTTTTTTTTCTCCCTTGATACCACCTGACTTACTACTGTATGTTTGTGTGCTGATTCTAAAGCATACGAAATATCTGCATGCGTTTTTATTTTCCTTAAATCTGGAAGAATATGTGCCCAGCTGTTAGCCTTGGTATTTCTGGGGGTGGATATGGTTGAGAAGAGTTATTCTTTCTATTGTATGTTATTTCTACTCTGTCGTCATGTTTAATAAGAAATAGCATAATAAGCTTTCCTTTTGGGTGGAAGAGATAGTACTTAAATGGAATTCCTGGTTTCTTACGGAAAGAAACAGATTCCTGAAGATTATAGTCTTTTTCAGTTCTGTGGTTCTATAAGCTAACTATAAAACTCAAGAAAACTAGCAAATAGGTTGTAACTCTTCCAAAATGGGCCAGACTGACAACAAGAGAGCAAGTACTATACGTCTTTACTGCTTAAAAACTTAAAACAAGAGGTCCAGAAGCCTGCTGCTTTCTAGTTACTTCTAATTAATGTTTCTGAAGAGGATGGAAATGGTTAATATTCTGTGTTTTGTTTGTTTGTTTTTGAGATGGAGTCTCGCTCTGTTGCCCAGGCTGGAGTGCAGTGGCACGATCTCGGCTCACTGCAAGCTCCGCCTCCTGTGTTCACACCATTCTCCTGCCTCAGCCTCCTGAGTAGCTGGGACTACAGGCGCCTGCCACCACACCTGGCTAATTTTATTCATTTTATTTTATTTTATTTTTTGAGAAATGGTTAACATTCTGTCAACAAAGGGTGAGTGGTTATCTATGAATTAGATAATGAAGAATCAATTATCACAACAAAAAGAGACATTTTTTGCAAAAAAAAAAAAAAGTGCCTGTCTCTTTTTTCAGACAATTGAGAATCTGAAATTCTTTAATCCTATCTCTTGCAGTAATTTACCAACACAGTTTTTGCATATACTTCTAAAACCTGATTTAGAAACAGATTGTGTTTTCAATTTTTTTTTAATTTTTGTAAAATTGTGTTCCTGTGTCTGCTCACAAAAGTCTATAATCGTTAGTATAACTGTACTCAAGCTAAACTATAGGATAAAATTTTTAAATTTAGGCCGGGTGTGGTGGCTCACGCCTGTAATCCCAGCACTTTGGGAGGCCAAGGCGGGTGGATCACAAAGGCAGGAGATCGAGACCATCCTGGATAACACAGTGAAACCCTATCTCTACTAACAATACAAAAAATTAGCCAGGTATGATGGCACGCACCTGTATGTAGTTCCAGCTACACGGGAGGCTGAGGCAGGAGAATTGTTTGAACCCGGGAGGCAGAGGTTGCAGTGAGCCAGGATCACGCCTTTGCACTCCAGCTTGGGTAACAGAGTGAGACTCCACCTCAAAATAAAATAAAATAAAATTTAATATTTGACAGCAAAAACATTGTCAAGAACATACATACTTTCTGTTATTTCTGACACGCACACCAAAACACTAGTTCTCAGCAGTGTGTGGCAGGGGTATTTTTTATTCCAGTGGCTTGGCAATCCTGCAGTATCACCATTGACTCTGCTCTGGATACAGGTGAAAAAGGGAGGAGTGGGCACAGTGTTAGGCGGGTGGGTGCAGGAGACTTAGGCTACATGGCGATACCTGGAGCTGAGGATGGCAGCACTGTTGATCTTGAAGTCAGCATGCAATGTGGACAGGTTGTTTTTGGTAGCATTATAGCAACTGGCTTTTGTATATATGGGTTATTTATAAGTAGTGTTTGAATAGAATACTGCCCTAGGAAAAACAGAGCAAAAGAGATGCTAAAAGCATAGACTACTGGAGTGGTTTACACCCAATTTTCTGAATGATTTACCTGTGTATATACAGTATAAATGACTAAAAGTTAAACTTGTGGAAGCAGATTTCATGGCTAATTAAAAAGGAAAGAATGGGAGTTTATACTTTTCAGAAAAAGCAGGCACACTTAGGTGATTATAGGCAGAAGGGTAGTAACTATATAGAAGCTACAGAAGAAAGAATTTGGAATAGGATTTCCATTCCATGCTTTGCAGTTTTTTTCACATCTGTGCCCTTCTTGGAGTGCACTTTCTTCCCCCAAAAGGATTTTCTCTAATCTCATTTTTTTGCTTCTACCCATGATCGTACTCTTGATGCTGAATGCTGATTGGCAAGTCAGAAACTTGGCCAGGCATGGTGGTGCGCCTGTAATCCGAGCTACTTGAGAGGCTAAGTCAGGATTGCTTGAGCCTAGGGGTTCTGGGCTGTGGTGCACTATGCCAGTCGGATATCTGTACTCTTTGGCATCAATATGGTGACCTCCCAGGAGCAGGGACCACCAGGTTGCCTAAGGAGGGGCGAACTGGCCCAGGTTGGAAATGGAGCAGGTTAATACTACTGTGCTCATCAGTAGTGGTATTGTGCCTGTGATTAGCCACTGCACTTCAGCCTGGGAAACAGTAGATCTTTATCTCTAAAACAAAAAAAAAAAAAAAAAAAAAAAAAAAGGCCACAAAATTGTTTGAAGGGTTGTTTTCTTCCTTTAGACATAACTCAAATACTTATACAGAATATTCGTGTCTTAAAAATAAGTATAATATTTACGTTTATTCTTGTTCTTCGTTTCCCTTGCTAGAAAGTACACAGATGCTAGTTTAGTTTAACATTGTTGTAGTTCACCTGGTATAAATGTAACCATCTTGAATTAGTAGACATTGCTGAATTGCCTCATAGCTAACTCTGGGAGATTAAGATTTTTTGTTAGGAATTATGAATTTGTTTCCAAGAAACACATAAAATCTTAAGTTATGGGAATGGTTACGTGAATGGTGGACGTTCTAAGACGTTCTAAGGTGGACATTCTAAGGTGGACGTTCTAAGGACCTTATAACTGTTTCTTCATGGAGGCTTATTGAGTATTTCTTACAGTATCACTCTAATTTATGTTCACAAGTAGTTGGAGTTTCCCACTAAAAAGAACAAAGCTTCCTACCAAAGAAATCTGCATCTATTAATAAATTTGCAGCTCTTGCCTGGTGCGGTGGCTCACGCCTGTAATCCCAGCACTTTGGGAGGCTGAGGCAGTTGGATCACTAGGTCAGGAGATCGAGACCATCCTGGCTAACATGGTGAAACCCGTCTCTACTAAAAAATACAAAAAATTAGCCAGGCGTGGTGGCGGGCGCCTGTAGTCCCAGCTACTCGGGAGGCTGAGGCAGGAGAATGGCGTGAACCCAGGAGGCGGAGCTTGCAGTGAGCCAAGATCGCGCCTCTGCACTCCAGCCTGGGCAAAAGAGCAAGACTCTGTCTCAAACAAAAAATAAAATAAAATAAAAAATCAATTTGCAACTCTCAAGTAACTGAGTAAAATTGGGAGTCCAATTAAATATATATACCTTCCAGTTTTTGCATGTTGTGTTACTGACATTTCTGTTACACATGCTTAAGTTGGACAGAAACGTGTCAAAATGCTAAGTATAGTAGCTCACACAACTGCTCAGTATGTTTTCTGTCTCCCTTTTTAAAAATCTCATTTTAAAATATTAGTCCTTTTGAAAGAATATGGTATAATATCAAAGAACCACTGGGTAGGAAGAACTATAAACGATCATTAAAAATAATACTAGAGTTTGCAATCAGAGCTTCCTATTATGTCTGCTCAGCAGTATGATTTGAGAGGCATAATTTTAGGTATAAGATGCCTTTCCCTAATTCAAGTTCTTTATCTAGTCTTAGTGGATATTAACATTCAAAACCACTACTTTGAAGCATCTTGGTCCATAGTTCTCTTCCTTTCTGAACTTCTAGTCACTAAACACTTTTGCAAGAGGTAAAGAGCCTCTTTAGGTTTTAGTGTTTTTCATCTTTAAAATGAGAATATTAGAGTGCTGTCTTCATCAGATACTGAAATGGAACTATGTAGCCAACTACTAAAGGTACTACTGCTAAGCAGGGATCTACTTACCACTGAAAGACTACTAACCGTCTTCCATGATATGTGTAAACAGAATCTTTTGTGAATCCTTCACCACACTGAAGCCTTCTACGGTCTACTTACTCTTTCATTTTAAAAACAGTTCTTTCCTTCTTTAGTTTTCCTGTTTGTTTTTTTAGATGCTATGTACTCAGCCTCAGGAATACTTAGATCCACGAATGAGGGTTCCTCTTCATTTCTCCTTCTGTTTGGTTCCTTGTTGGCTGTGGTGAATAGCATTCCTCAAAAAGATCCATCAACATGAATGATGCAAATGACCATCCATTTTTGTGCATTATCATTTGCAAGCACAATATGGTCTAAAATATTCTTAAGTTCCTGACAATTAACTTTTGATGAACTTACAATAGCACAAAATATGTTCTTCAGAAATTATAGAACCACTGTAGTTTGAAATCTGTGTTCATGGCTATCTGCTGTTAATATTAGAATAATGGGTAAAGAAATAGGTATTCTTTAACTTACATTGAAATGAAGTAATATTAGCAGTTTTCTCCTTTCCCTAGAAGAATTATATGTAGGACAGGCGTGGTGGGCTTAAGCCTGTAATCCCAGCACATTGGAGGCTGAGGCCAGCGGATGACAAGGTCAGGAGATTGAGACCATCCTGGCCAACATGGTGAAACTCCATCTCTACTCAAAATACAAAAATTAGCTGGGTGTGATGGCACGTGCCTGTAATCCCAGCTACCCGGGAGGCAGAGGCAGGAGAATTTGCTTGAACCCAGAAAGCGGAGATTGCAGTGAGCCGAGATCACGCCACTGCACTCCAGCCTGGTGACACAGCGAGACTCCGTTTCAAAAAAATAAATAAAAATAAAAAATAAAGAGAATTATGTGTAAACAGCATTTAATAACTCAGATATTTAAAGAACTGTTTTATTTATTTTTAGAAACAGGGTCTTGCTATGTTGCCCAAGCTGGTCTCAAACTCTTGGGCACAAGCAGTCCTCCCACCTCAGCCTCCCAAGTAGCTGGGACTATAGGCGCCACCACTGTGCCCAGCTACTCAGTTCTTTTTAATTAAAACTTATGGTTTGTTTAGTTATCAATAAGGTTGACATTTTAAAAAACAGACTAGTTTCTTGCTAGAAATACATGTTTATGTATGTGTTGTGAACATATATATGATTGTGTTTTAAAACAGATACGACCACATTCTGAAGTGGGAACTCTTTCAGCTGGCTGACCTGGATACGTACCAGGGAATGCTGAAGTTGCTCTTCATGAAAGAATTGGAGCAGATTGTTAAAATGTATGAAGCATACAGACAAGCCCTCCTTACAGAGTTGGAAAACCGAAAGCAGAGACAGCAGTGGTATGCCCAACAACATGGAAAAAATTTTTGAGCTGATTTTTGAAAAATAAAATTTAAGTTTTATAAGAGCTTTAAAATATTTTCACAGATAAAAAATTACAAACAAGTACTTTGGTTAATAAATGCAGCTTCCTTTGTGGAGATTATAAAATTCTAACTTTACATGTATTTTTTATTAGAAATTTTCTTTTATTGAACAAGAAAAATGAGTGTATCATTTTAAGAGCCAATATGACAAACACTTTCAGATGCTGTATATTAGGAACTGCTTTGGTATTCCTGATGGAAGAATGCAGCGGAAATGTCATTATGAACAGATGTTAAATAGGAAATTATCACTTGTTAACTTCTTAATAGCAGTAGTACCTTCTTTAAAAAAAAAAAGAATCTGCAGTATTTAAAAAAAAAATGTTTACTGCTCTAGTGTGAAATATTGTCTGGAAAGGGATGGTTTAAATATTACCATGATGCCGTTTAAATATAAAATAGGATTTGGAACCTTATTGTGATAAATATTTATATATGATGTATGTTTGTCTCCCCCTCCAAAGTAAGGAACCCAGCTGGGCGTGGTGGCTCATGCCTGTAATCCCAGCACTTTGGGAGGCTGAGGTGGGTGGATCACTTGAGCTCACGAGTTTAAGACCAGCCTGGGCAACATGGTGAACCCCCATCTCTACAAAAAATACAAGAAAATGAGCCAGGTATGATGATGTGTGCCTCTAGTCCCAGCTACTTGGGAGGCTGAGGTCAGAGGATGGCTTGAACCCGAGACACAGAGGTTGCAGGGTCAAGATCACACCATTTGCACTGCAGCCTGGGAGACAGAACCAGACCTTGTCTCAAAAAATAAAAAAATGAAAACAAAGTAAGGAATCCTTTTAAAGCATGTTGAGAAAGTATTTTTTGGTATGAATGGGTGACGGGCCTTTTAATCTTTCAGGAATACATACAAGCATGAGTACTTAGCCTGTATGGTGAAGGTGTGTGAAACTCCCAAGTTGCTAACATCATCTTCCTTATTTTCAGCCAGGGCTGTTACTGCATTTAGCATGGCTCTGATGAGACAGTGGAGAGTTCCTGACAGCATAGTATACTGCCTTCTGAAAGACTGGGTTAAGCTACCAAAAATGACAATCAGGGATTCAAAAAGAATTTTTGGTCATTAAATCGATTGTATATTATAACTTTTTAATCTTCTAGGTATTTATCACAGGACTTTAACACCATATATTTCCCTGCCAGTTTTTCTCCCCTTTTGGTTTGATAGTTAAAACATTTTTCATAATTAGTGCTGTACATTTGATTGCAAACAATTTGGTGATACTTCTAAACTATAACTGTAAATCTCTAGAATTCTGTGAATTTCAACATTATTTGAAGTGTTCTTCCGTTATATTTACATGTGTTGTAAATATGTAAATATACTTTTAGCTTAGGAAGTCTTCCAGAATACAAACTGCTCCCAGTTACATATCAGTGAGTTTGAATTATTGAAGAAATGTTGACAAAGTTGAGTGTTTGATTTTATATAACAAGCTTATTAAATATATTTTTGTGGAAACTAAGCGTGTGGTTTTTGAGTCCATGTTTTAGACATAGTGCGGTATTTCATTTTTCTGTTCAAAAGGCCATAGACAAAGGAATCAATTTAATTCAAAGGGGTAATGAAAAGGGGTATTGAAAAATGAAAGTTTGGCTAGTGGAATTTTATCACTGGGAAAAGATAATTTGCTGAACTTGTGGTCAGATTTTTCTAAGATGTAAATTTATATATCTTATGAACTCTCACACTCCTCTAACTTAATTGTTCTTTCCTGTCACTTCTTACTTTATATTGCTACTTAATTAAGTTGTACCCATTTCTGTGACAGTCCTTAGAAGTTACTCTGTTTTGGACCTCCTAGATAAATATTACTTTTTTCATTAACACACTTTCCTTCTTCCTCTAAGTCTGTTCAGTGAAACTCCACTAGAGATTTTAGTCATTAAGAACTAGAAGTTACCTAAAGGAATTAGCATGTTTTGTAAAATAGAAACTTAAGTTTGTACTGATGTCAACATTAAATAAAATGCATCTTGAGTCTAAAAAAAGAGATAAACCTTCATCATTCTATATCAGCACCTCTCATTTTCAAATTCAGTAAGCATTTTTTTTTAATCTTAGGAACCAGAGTAAACTTTAATAATAGTTCACATATTAAAAGAATAAACCTATGAAGAATACATTCTTTGTGTACCAAATGAAAAAATATACAATGCAGTGAAACTCACATATACAAAGTGATTTTTTTGTGCATTTTTTATCAAGAGGTTTATATTCTATTAAATCATGTAAAAGCAATAGATAGTTTTTGATAAAGCAACTGAAGGACTCTTAAATGTGCTTAAAAATAAGATTGTGATATATATAAGATGATACAGATTAAATCAAGCCTGCTGAGTTATGATGCTGTGCTTTAACAAATGGCTATGTGAAATAATTTTAACATTTTTTCTGTAGAAATTAAATGAGCATATCCAAACGTGGAATATCACATGGTTTAATGATAACCCAGTAGTAGAATTTAGTAAATTCAAGCAGAACACAGGTACTGTTATCATAAATAGACAAATACTTTATAACAGCATTTTTGAAGAAAAATCAGGAAATTGTACATGTTAACAAAATAGTATAACCATGCATACATACATCTGCTTATTAAACACTGAAGTAAAAGAACTAATCCAGTTTGCAGTCTTCAGAGGTGTTTAGTATTTTACTCTGTTCTGATGGAAGCACTTTGAATGTTTGCATGGAGACATAAAACTGAATATTTAATTGACAATTGGTCATGCACCTGTATTTCTTAAAATTTGGATTACATTTTTTTCTTTTCTGATTGTTCAGTAGATTCCGACTTTGGTGTAGGAAAAGCTTGATGATACAGATGTCTGTGGGTTGCTGCTGCACTGTAAAGCTTGTACAAAGCCTAGAATAAAAGCATCAAGATTATAAAATATTTTATTAAACACACAGATGTAAAATTTTTTTCCTTTTTAGTTTATCATACTGTATAAAATTTAGCATGTTGAATTTGAAATCTTTTTTTTATCAATATATAAATTAATACCTTAAAATTCAAAAGTATTTTCAACTCCTCAGTGTGTGCATTAACTTAATCCTTTCGTGCGTTGACCTTTGTGGTAAATGTTTTATTCTCAAACTATGTTTCCTTTTACCTTGCATGCCTCTTGGAGCAGAGAGCTGCTACTCTGCCCCAGGGGTGTGCTGAAAATTTAAATTGTGACTATTAGCAGTTTTAGATGAATTGTAAGACCTCATAACTTCTGATTGGCAGTAACTATTATGCATAGCTAGGCTACTTGCTTTCCTGAGTGGGACCAATTTTATTCTCCATCATTTACTGATACAGCCATGCAGCTCAGCACATATGGTGTCCTTCCCCCAGCACAGTAGGATCCTTCACTTTACATGCTCTTGCCTTGTTTCCATGACTTAGCTAATATCTTACAAACCCTATTCAAAAACATTACCTCAGCAAGCTTTCCTCATTTAAAACTACCTCTTATTGTTCTCTGTGGGCTTAGGAATTTCTGTGTATTGTATATTGCTTTATGTAAGTGTTCATAAATATCTTTGTTTCCTGGCTCCCTCAGCTAGTGTCTAAGAGTTCATCCCCTGCTCTGACTTTCACATACTTGACAGTCAGTTACAAATGACTTGTCTGATTTAGTTCTGGAGTTTGTAAAGAGTCTTTGAATATTTTTAAAAGCTGCATAAAAGCTTGAGATCCTTTAAATAGTAATATGTTCCCAGGAAATTCCATTAATTTTTATCATTTGTGAGTCTGTATACCTACTTTCTTTTGATTTTCTTGTTTTCTTTTTGAGTTGGAGTCTCCCTCTTGTCGCTCAGGCTGGAGTGCAGTGGCGCGATCTTGCCTCACTGCAACCTCTGCCTCCCAGGTTCAAGCTATTCTCTTGCCTCGGCCTCCCTAGTGGCTGGGACTACAGGTGCCCGCCACCACACCTGGCTAATTTTTTGTATTTTTAGTAGAGATAGGGCTTCACCATGTTGGCTAGGCTGGTCTCGAACTCCTGACCTAAAGTGATCTGCCCACCTCAGTCTCCCCAAGTGCTGGAATTACAGGCGTGAGCCACCGCGCCTGGCCTTGATTTTCTTACGGCATTAAGTCTGAATGGTACCATCTTCAGATCTATGAATGTATATTTGTGCAGCATAGTACTGTCTTCCATTATATTCTGATTCTAAGGCATTCAATTCAATTCTAATTCTCTAACTTATTTTTTTCTTAAGCTTTGATTTCCAAAGTTGAAATTTGCTTTTGCTTTTTTAATGAGCTTGCTTACTGAATTTTGCATGAAATAACTTCTTATTGACTTGTAAATATTAAGGGGTATTTGATTTGAGGACATAATCCACTTATATGCCACAGTAGAAACTGAGGAAAGAATTATCTCTAGTTATTCAAGATCAGCTTTGCTTCCTGAAGATAATGACTTAAATGATTCCAGAGTGATACTTTTTCTTAGTGTAACAGCTGATTCCTTCCTGGATGCCTAGAGTCTTTTCTGAGATATGTAGTGTTGCTGTACATGTGCAGTAAGAGAAATGAACACTTACTGTACAGGTCAGGCCTGAGGTCTGCCAAGAGAGTTAGCATACATACTGGCCTGGGCCCTGCTTAAAGTGGTATGTATTACTGTCAGTCAAAAGCTAAAGTTAAAAACAACTTCTAAAGGTTGTAGCTACATTTAAATACCCTCCAGTAGTTACATTTCCTCAAGTTTCATAACTGCTTGCTTTACTCTGCAGTAGAGCAGAGTCCACCTTTTCAGAGCTTAAGAATTTTGAAATTGTCTACACATTCATGGAACAAATACTCATGATATTCAATTTTGTGTGTGTGTAGATCAAATCATACATGATGTCTAGAATAAGTTAAATATTTTAAGACCATGTTAAAAATTCACAATTACAAATTTAAATGTTAGAAGTCACCAAAGATTG